CCCACCTCTTTATGTCCATAATGTAATTAAAGCTAGAAAAGCAAGCTGCAAAATTCTGTGAAGAGCATGATCTAGTTTTGTATCTATACTTGCTATACATAGAAAAAGGTTTAAAAGTGTACAGCTGGCTGTTAATGTCTTTTTTGGGGGAGGGAAGAGGGTAAGAATGGAGGGGTTGAAGAGGGAGATGGAATTTTTTCTTTATACATTGTTTGATTCTATCACTTGTTACAATGAGCCACATGTTCTTTTCAAAATAAAAAGAATCATTAGAAATGTTAAAATGACTAAATGAGATAGTGGACTCAAGGTGCTTTGTCTGATTGGCATTATTTTTGCCTCTGCCTAATTTTCTTTTTTTTTGCCCAAGAATAGAACATCAGCTTATTGAGAATGGGCCAGTTCTCCTCTAATTAGACAATGTTTTTCCAAGTACATAAAGTAAGCCTTCCCAAAGAGCCTAAAAGCCCAGCTCCTCAAATCCCAAGTACTTCCTGTCAGATTCAAATTACCAGTGTTCCAAAAAAGCCAGACAGTAAGAACAATTTATAAAATTACATGAAAAAGCCCTTTGGTTGTGAAATGATGTGGGGTCAGCCTCCAAAAGGAAGAGGCCTAGTCTTGCGATGGTCTTAAGGGACACTGCCTCACAGCTGGCAACGCTAGGCTCTGATTTTACGTTTAACTTAGCATCTGGTGTTCCTTCCACTGCCTCACACCACGTGTCAGTACGGGCAGCAGGCACTTAACCTGTTCCTAATGGAAATGTTTTTCTTCTTCCACCAATTTAGAAGACTTTTGAGGATTTTACAGGCTGTTGTATTGAACCACAAGTATCATACAGCTCTGAAAATGTTCTGCTGTTTTGAACTCTGGTTTTCAAAATACTCCAATCAGAAATTTTCATGGGCATGACACCTAAAGTCAAATGAATACCAGCTTCTGCCTGTCTCTTTTTACATTTTACTGCCATCCCAGCACAGGTTAGAGGCAGTTTGCAGTCCAGTGAGAAGTGAGCGCTGCTTATCTAACGCCGTAGTCCCTAGGTGTCTGACATAGGGCAAGTGATTTAGGAGAGGCGAGCTGGCCGAATGGACAAAACACACGCTCAAGAATCAGTGTAGTAGCCCAGGCCTTTGTGTGTCTGTGTTTGCAAGGATTAGAATTGCCTAGGTAATGATCACAAGCACTTTCTGATGTTTGCAGCCTGGGAACAAATGCCAACCATTGACTGACTGGCTGAGCTGGATAAATGTCCCAGAGGATGGGTCGCTGGCAGCTGCTCTTGGTGTATCTTCAAGCATAGTTACTTTTCAGAGAAGAAATAAAATTGGAGCAAGAGAACAGCTTGGCTTCATTCCTTTGGTAGTGGGAAGGGGTGGTGACTTATCTGTCTGTATCCTGATGTTAAGAGTAGCTCAGATGGAAATTTCAAATTAAATAAGAAAGTCTAACGACAATGCGTTATGAGCTCAGTGCTCAATGAACAAAATAAAAATGATTTCAGCCAAGGTAGTTAATTTTCCTCTGGGGATGAGTTTATATTTTTCCTCTTTAAGCATCCTTGGAATTCAGTCCTGAGGGTCTAATATTGACATTTACAGGATGACTTATACTGTACAGCAATGAGAATGAGTAACTTGTAAGTACACACAGCATTGTGAACAAATCTCACAAACATGATGCTAAGCACAAGGAGCCAGACACAAAAGAGTACCCTCACAATTCCGTTTATATAAAGTTCAAAAACAGGCAGAATGCCTCAGTGGTATTAGAAGTCAGGAAAGTGGCTGCCCTGAGGGCAGGAATGACCGGAAGGAGCAGAGAGAGTTTCTGGTTGCGCCCAGTTTCTCAATCCAGGTGCCGAGTACATAAGTGTGTTCACTTTTTGAAAATTTCATTGACCCGTAAGGGTAGTTTTCTTATGTATATGTCAATAAAATGAAAAAAAATCAATTTCATGTGCCTTTCTTACCTGCCCTCCTTTTAATTGGCCTGTTTAGTCTCCTTCGTAGATGCCAGCCATTCTTTCTCCTCCATCCCACTCCCATCCTATGGGTAAATCTTTTATAAGGGTTACAATCGACGAGCATTAAACCGTTTTGAGTCCTTGGATATTAGAAGGAGTCCATTTATTATAGTCTTTTCCACCTGCTATTTTCCTGAGGGGGCGGCCTAATAGGGAGAACAGGCAAAGACAGCTTGAAGTAAGTTCTAGGCATGACGGAAATAAGGCCCATCAACCTCACACAGCGAAGGGTGCCGTGACTGTAGGTAGAAAAGCAGCTTTTACCCTGTTCTCAAATATGCCCAGGGCCTGATCGTCTCGCTAAGATATTAATGTCTGTCCTGGATAGTTTGTTCATTTATTCAGTCTAGAGGCAGGGAATTGATTGGGAAACCTCTGGAGATCTTTTCGGGTCTTTTTATTTCAGATAATTAAGCTGAACAGGGATGATATTCATGAGTGGCAAAGCTGTAGAACCTTTCAAGCATGGTTAGGGGATGAGGAGACTCCTGCATCCTGGGGCTGGGACGGTCACCAGCAGGGATCTCACGGGAATGAGTGAAGGTGGAGCTTCAGTCTGGTTGGCTGCTAGGTTAGGACGTCTTGCTTGCAGTCCAGCATCATCTCTCCGGCTCCTGCCTCACACCTTCCTCCTGGTCCACCCATGCCTCCCAGCGCTGCCCTCACCTTTGGTTTGTTTGCACGCCTCTTCTCTCTCCCCCTACTTCTGCTGTGATCTCCTGGTGCCAGCTTCATGCACTGACCCATCTTCTGTCCCTGCATTATGTTCCCAGGCATTCTGTTGAGCTGCTGCTGTCTGTGAGGGAGGCCTGTCCACCCTTTGGCACTTTCCTAACACCCTCACCTTTTTCCTCCAAAAGGGCTCCACTCAGCTTACCTCAGGATGTTTTCTCACTGTACTGCCCATTCCTTGTCTGTCAGTGGCCCTTAGCTGACACTAAGCAGGCAAAAAGAAGGAGGAGGAGGGGAATCTTTGATAAAAGGTACTAGTCTGTCTTTAGACTGCTTCTGTTCAAATTTTACTTCCTTATAGAAATGTCCTTTAACCTCCCTTTCTAAAGTGACCTCGTCATTTTTTATTATTACTCTCTTTTATTTTCTTCATTACTACTGAAATTACCATGTTTGCTGTCTAATGCCCTATAAGTGTGATTTCTGCAAAAGAGACCCTTCCCTGTCTTGTTCGCTGTGACATCCTAATGTGAAGAGGACTTGGTGCTGTGGTAGGACTTGCCTAATGTTTTTTGAATGAGTGAATGAAAGAATGAGCCTTTAAAAACACACTTAAACTTGAAAAAAGTTTGAGTGACTTCACTTAGAGTACAGGATATGAAAATTAAATTGGCCTCAGTTAGTGAGAGAAAATCTTCGTGGTTTTGTCTTACAAAACCCAACTGACCAAACTCTAGAATACCCACTTGGGTTAGGTACACGATAAAGACTTTCTAGGGACATTGTAGATCACTGGCCTCTGATGGAGATGTTGCTTCCATAGTCCAGCGCCTCTCTGGTTCCTGACTCTGGGGAGGAATGTAGCTTTTAGTTACAGAGTTGGGAAGGCACGCAAGGTTAATTCTGAGTTAAGCGTTAGGATTTGACTCCCCAGGGAGACCTAGAAATGGCTAAGCTCTCACATTAATATGTAACCAAAATTTAAACTCATATTTCAGCAACAAGGAATAGTAAATAATGCATCGCTTCATGAAGATTTGCTTAGTTTATTTACTTACATTATTTATGGGTTGTGTCGGGAACCGACTTGGCCTGCTTTGCTTTGTTCACAGTAACGTTCCATAAATATAACAGCGATAAAACAGCATTGATTCAGAAGTGAGCTCATAGCTGTGCACAACATCAAACATAAAAGATGTGTTACAATGATAAATACTAAATCTTTAAAATATCTTTAAAATATCATTGCTTTTTACTGCCATTACTTATGCAGTGTGCATTTCAGCTTTTCATATTCAGTATTGTACTTTTTATGTGTGAGTTATATCCTGAAACTTTTGGCGCAGTCTGTACAAAACAGGCGTTTTAAAGTTCTGGGGGAGTGGCAGAACTTGATTCTCGTTTAGGAGACCATCCTAAGTTGTCCAGGGAAATCTCAGGAAGAGAACAAATAGCAATAAAATATATTGGATTTTTTTTTCTTTCCTGCCAGTTTGAAGTTTAAGCAATTCAGGCAAAAAAGTGAGGACTTAACAGAAACATATTTCATTCTTCCTGTGGTAGGAAATGTCCTTGCTTTCCTATTGGGATGTCCTAGGTTTCTCTCAAGATTCTAGAGTCTCCGCATGGTCTTAAGTGGGGCTGATGTAGTCCAAGGTGGTGCTTTGCAGATAATGGGAGGTAGGTATGTAGTAGTGTTAACATCTGGACTGTGGAGTCCAGTAGATCTGGGCTCATTTTCTGGCTCTGCTGTTAATAAATTGTGTGTCTTTGGGCAAATGACAAGCATTTGAGCCCCGATTTTCTTGTCTGTAAAAGAGAGATAATACCATATATCTCACAATGTCGTGAGTATCCAATCAGATAATGTTTATAGGATACAGTGCCTGACACAGACTGAGGGGCCACAAATGTTGCCTTAACCTTGTGAATAGGCTGATGAGGAGGTAAAGGTATCATGGCTGTGTAACCAGAATAAAACTTGCAAATTACTTGGCATTTATAACAGTAAGGAATTATATGAAATGGTCATAATTATACATTGAAACCTCCCCTTAACACGATTTGGCATAAAGCATGTCTGTCTTGAACCCTTCTCAAGGAAATGTTTAAAAACTAGTATAACAAAGAGGCCTGTCGTAAAGTGGATTTATGCACATTGATTTTCATGGCAAAGGCCTGGGGGACAGTGTGAATATATTTTAAAAACGCAATCTGTGAGATAGCTGAGTCTGAGTATTGGATAATTTTTTTGAATTTTTAATGCCCTTATGAAGGCAGAATTGTGTTTTTAATACAGCAATAAGTGGAAGTGGAGATGGAGAAGATGGAGGGACAGAAAGTGAGGAGGGCTGACAGTGGCCTCCAAGTGGAACCAAGCAAAGCCACCCCTGGTTTGTGGGCTCCTGCTTTCTCCCCTGCACATCAGGTAGGTCTGTCACTGACACGCTTCTGGGAGGGCACTCGCTCGAAAGTTTGATCCCCGTGTGAGGTGACCTAAATTACAGCCTTAGTACGCTGAGACGTGGGGGATTTGTCACAAAATTATTTTCAATCTCTTATGGCATCTTCAAGACTTATTTAATCTTCTCTCAAAGACTGAAGAATACATAAGAATTATGGTATTTTGTTGGGAGTACAGTATCTTTTTTTTTTACTTCTAATTTTACCTTTTAATTTTAAAGGTTTCAATCTACTAAAAAGTTGCAAGAGTGAGACAATGAATTGCCATATATCCCATATATCCTCACCTAGACTGACCTATTGTTTTGCCACACTTGTATCTTCTATGCATAGATACATGATATATAATGTAGTTTGTTTATTAATTTTTTTTACTGAGCCCTAGAGAGCAAATTGCAGAGATCATGACAATATCAGTGAATATTTCCTAAGAACATTCAATTGCACGAGCATCATGAATTTATCAAATCTAGGAAATTTCACTTTGAAACAAGCCTATTAACTAATATACAGAACATATTCAGATGTCACCAACTGTCCTGAAAATGTCCTTGCTAGCAACTGTTTTTCCCCACCCCAGGGTCCCTCATGGCATTGAGACGTCATGCTGCTTCAGGCGCCTTCAAGCTGCAAGCATGCCTTGGTCTTTCTTTGTGTTTCCTGACACTGACATTCTTTAAGAGCACTGGCCCCTTATTTTAGAAGATGTCCCCCAATTTGGGTTTGTCTGTTTCCTTATGACATATTTCAATTTAGGTATTTTTGTTGGGAATACCACTGAAGTGATGTGCCTGCAGTGCTGCAGCGCAGGTGATACACAAGCCAGTTTGAAAGTTTTCATTCGCATTAAAATATATCTTTGATAGTTTTACTTCTTTGTGAAATGAAGACTCTGGAACTTACCTTTTTTCAAAAAGTCTCCTTGAAAATCTTACTACTTGAAACATTAGTGCCACAAGGCGACCATTTCTTGGAAAAATGGCAGTTGATTCATCTTTCTAGTCTTTATCAGTGGATAGAATGGTGCTGATGCCTTTGAATGTTTAAATATCTCAGGGACTTCTCTAAGATGTCTTATTATCAGGAGAATTCAGTTGTGTTGAAAGTTTGGATGCTAATTAATCACAATTCCCCTTCTAAAGATTCTTAACCAATGAGAACACAAGTAGTGAACCGATGAGCCACTTTATTACTCGTAAAGCTGGAGGGCGTGGTAAGGCCCTGTGCCTCCTTCTTCAAAGCGGAATCATTGATACCTTCCCAATTCTGACTTAACCATTCTCAACCCACACTGGAAAGGTCGAGACTTGGCCAGGCCTGCCAGAAACAGGTCCAATTTGTCTGCGTAGCTAGTTGGGACGTAAATACAGCTGTACATCTTGCTGAGCACATGCAGGTTTGAGAGGCACCATGCAAATGAGAAGCACTCGTGCCCTGGAATGTGCCTGGCTCCCTGGATAAGGTGGCCTTGACTGCTGGGCTGTATCCAGTCTCATCCTCTTTGGGGGAGGGGCCAGTGATAGCGGAGAGACAGGACAGGGGCTCCCCTAACACGCCGCTGGAGGCTTGTCTGGTTTGGAGGGGCGCACCGTAGGGGGAGGAAAAGTGCCCTCTGGCGACATTGCCCCCATTTACTTCTTGGGTTGTGCTGAGTGGAGTGGAAAATTTGAAGCCTTCTTGTAAAGTGAAATTTCATCTTTTTAATTAATGCTGCAGATTACCAGAGATGTCAGCTTGGCTTGCCTTTTCAACTTTGGAAAATCCATCGATGAGAGAAACGTTTGTCAGCTCTGCCAACTGACTTGAACTGTTACTAACACAATTTCTCCTGCACAAGTTTTTCTCTTTTTAAAACAAATAATATATGCACATAGTTAAAAGTTTTAAAGTTGCAAAATTTATAAAAACCTCCTTTTCACCTTTCCCCTCTGCTATCCAGTTGTCCTTCCCTGAGACACCAGGGAAGTTTCTTGTACTGAACTGTTTTGCAAATCTGTTCCCATGTGACTGTGGCTCCAGCATTCATCTCTCAGACAAGTCATAATCATCTGAAGCTTCCTCCCCATTGTGTCCCTCCTGTCCATCTTGGTTCCATTCTTTTGATAATAAAGCTAGGTCCTGGAGAGGGGTCAGTAGTAGATGGGGGAAGATTCTAAGCATGTGTGTATGCTTATTTATGTGCCTGCATTTCAAAGTCAAAAATAAATGATTTAAGAATTGCTAATTTAGTCAATAAATCAATCATATATGTATTACTTACTTATCATGTGCCATGGATGACACAAAGTGTACAAAGAAAGGTCCCTGAATTCAGAAAGCTTCAGAGTTTAGTTGGGGAGGCAAAATTAATAAGCCATTTGAAAACAATTTTGAAGCTGAGTGGCCTCAATTGTGGGTGCTGAGGTCATCCAGAGGGGGAAAGATTAGTGTGAACTGTGGAATTTGGGGAGAACTTCATGGAAGCAGGAAGACAGTTTCGAAGGACAGGTAGTGCTCAGTGGGTGCTGGGAAGGGAGGGCATCAGGAGTGTGACCCCTTAAGTCACACGGCCTCCTTGCTGCTCCTCTGGCAAGCCGGACTCACTCCTGATTGAGGGCCTCGCTGTTGCCTCTGCTTGGAAGGTTATCCCCTACTCTGCTTAGCTCATTTCTCACTACAAGTCACGGCTCTAATGTCACCTGCCCAGTGAGACCTACCCTGACGATCCTGTTTAAAACCAGAATCCACCTCCATGCTCTGAATACCCCTAATTCTCTTCTAGTTTTTCCGTAGCTCTTACCAGTTTCTAAGACACTTAATTTAAAAAATTATGTTAGTTGTTTATTTTCTTTTTCTCCATTAGAAGGTGAGCTCTGTAAGGGCACACATTTTTGTCTGTTTTCTTTCCTGGTATAACCTCAGCCCCTAGACATTGGCCCATACTACATAATCAATAAATGTTTGGTTGAGTGAATAAATAAAGCCATCCCTTCCTTTCCCCCAGACAAATTGACCAGAGAGGGAGCCTCCATAAAAAAAATTAATCAGGTCACCCCAATGAACGCAAGACATCTCTGCATTTCTAAGGGAACAGCTATTGAAAGTATATGGTTCAGAGCTGGGCCTCTTTCTTATTTTCTGCAGGCCTGACGATACACAATTTGGAAATAGAAAATGAAAGAAACTAAACATTGTTCTGCATATTAATGTGACACATGGATTCCACTGAAAGAACAGCACCTTGAAATTTATGAGCAGCTAAAAAACGGTGCCTCTTCATCTCTCCAGGTTTAGACGGTACTGGCAAACTGCATTCCTCCCCTGGGCAGCCCGGGCAGCCCCTCTGCATCAATTCCCCTCTGTGTGCCGAGGATACCCGCATTTATATCGCAGCCTGACATGTCCACTTGCATGTCTTGTCTGCACTGGCCCCTCCCTCAGCAGTCGCTGCCATCTCTGCAAATGGCATCATCTCATACATGGCGGCTCAAGCCCAAACCTCCTGGTCATCCTTCATTCCTCTTTCTTCCTCACATCTCCTTCACTGGCAAGTCCTGTGAGGTCCTCTTCTGAAATATATTCTATCCTGACACTGTTTGCTGTCATCACCACCACCACCCACTGCAAATCACCATCTTGGCCCCTCTGAACTGCTGCCAGAGACTCCAGCTGATCTTTCTGCTTCCTTCCTTGTCCCCAAAAGTCTATTCCAAAGATGGAGATCCCATCAGGCGACCTTCCTGCTTAAGACCCTTAGTGTGGGTGCATCGCCCTGACGATGGAGTGTAGATCCTTTGCCGTGGCCAGAGCCCCATCTGGCTGTCTCCCGCCTGCTTTGCCGCCCCATCGTGGATCACACTCCTCCTTCACTGCACTGGCTTGGCTTGCCTTCCGGAGCGTGGGGAGCCCCTTCCTGTCGTGAATCTTTTGCCCTGGCTTTCCCTTTGTCTGGAAGGCTCTGTCCAAGCATTGCTGAGCCCAGCAAAAGCATTGTTCAGCAATCAGGCTACCTGCTCAGAGTCAGCTGACTACCCTGAGTAATGCCCTCCCACCCCACGTCTATCTCCTTTTACAATCATCTAGGCTTTATAAGCAAATCAGGAATCATTTTGATTACATGTCGGTTTCCCTGCATCAGTGTGGTCCCAGTAGTAAACATCCTCCTTTAATGGGATGGCTGAGGAGAGGTTAATGAAGGGACCATTTACAGAGATTTAGGTGGGTAAAGGGAAGCCAACAAGGGAGACTGGGGTTCCTTGTGCAACAACAGGGAATTGTTACCACCCCAAGGCCTGGATAGGACGGGGGTAGGGAGTGGCTGCTTGAATCTGGAGAAAACAGCTGTAGTTTACAGGGGAGGTCTCTGGCAGTACCATGGCCCAGCAGAGAGGGTGTCAGGGGAGCGAACACTCAGACCTCGCCCTCCTGCTTCCACCCAGTCTTCTGCTAGTGTTCCCCATTAGCCTAACCCATCCAGAAGCCAACTAACTGACATAATACCCAAAGGTCTGCCTCCAGGACAAAGAGTAGACTTGGAAAGAGTGGAGAGAGGATCTGGCAGGGCAACAGCACATGCCTCTACTAGAATGCAGGCTTCGTCAGAGGAGCACTGTCCCCAAAGTCTAGAAAGAGTTCCTGGCACACACAGGTGCCCAATACATATTTGCAGAGTGAATGAACGAATGCATGAATAAAAATTCTTTGTCTTTGGGTGATGTATCTCTTTAGTCCAATAATTATTGGCAATGAAATTGGGAGAGGAAGTAGTCGTGCCATCAGTGCTCACGGGTGGTCACTACAGGACTCACTCACTTTGCCCCCTCTGTGCCCTCCTGATGCTGTGCACTGCTGTGTGGCTGGGAGCCACCCCTTGCCAACCCTTCTGCTAAAGCCTTGGTCAAGGTGCCACTGTAAACATAACTGCTCAGATGTGGAGAAATATGCCTTGCACTGGGGTATGGGAGAGGACTGATTTGTGACTGAAGCCAGTCTCTGAGAGGGGAGGCTGGGGTTTCCCAAAGGATGAGTTGAGGTTCATGAGGAGGAAGTGCAAAGGAGAGTCGGGGCTCCCTGAGAAGGATTAACTTCTTCCAGATGTGGCCCTTGAAACCCTTTAGCTGTCTTTTATGCCATCTTTTCCCTTTAATTCGGAAGAGGGAATTAATGTTGAAACCGTTTTCCTTAATGAAGATGTGTCAAGGATTTGCTGCATATGTACTTGTATGAAGGAACTGTGCATAATGTGTGCAGATTTGTTATTAGGAATTCTCCTGTCTTGGTGTTTCCTAATATATTTAGTGAAAAACTTGTATTTTGTTTAAGGTCTAATGGGATTTTACTTGGCCAGGTCTAGTGGAGCTTTGACTTGGGCAGAGGCCTAATGGTATCAGGCTTTGGGATAAGGACGGTTCATTGCAGGCCTCTCAGTTTTTGCCAATGGGAAGGGTTAAGGGGGAGAGTGAGAGAGCCGGAGCCAGAGCAAGAACGTGGGAGATTGGGAGGAGAGGGAAAGGCAGATGGAACAACCTATTCAGGAAGGGGAGGTAAATTTTAATACCTTTTTTGTGCCATTTCACATATATTATTTCATTTATTCCTTATGACAATATTTTTATGTCAGCAGTATTATTTTATTTCTGTAGATAGGTAAACAAGATTATTAGCCAAGTGATTAAACTGGCCAAAGCAACATAGCTAGGAAGTAGTGGAAATAGTCCTCTGCCCTTAGTCTTACACCTCTGAAATCTACATTCCCTCCACTTTAGGAAGAATGAGAATGAAAGGTTGCTGGGAACTCAGTTGTGACTCGATCCTGTTCTTCCTCTTTGCCTGGTGCTTTTCTGATACAGTCAACTCTGCTCCAGATGAGCTTCTAGGCGAGAATGCAGCACTGATGGGGGCCACTGGGCCCAGAAAGAGTGGGAAGAGGGGAGTTGGTACATTTGTGTTTCATACTCTCTTTAATATGGAGAACATAAAATCTGTTTTGGTTTAAGAAAAGTCTTTCTTAAGTCTCTTCTTTTAAAGAAGAAATAGTGAGTTAATGTGAAAAACATTTTCCTAACCTAATAATGTCAATAATGATTAGGAAGCAGTATGGATAATGCCCTGGTGGGTAATCAAGAGTGAATATTGCATAAGTCAGTATAATTACCGTTTCTTGAATTTCAAGAAGGAGAGAGGGTCGAACTTTCTTAGAGAACAAGGAAATACTGTCTCAGTGGATTCTCCCATTGTATGCTACTTTTGCAGTCAGAGAACACTCTTTGTGGAAAGGAAATTTGGGGTTGGGGAAGGAGAAGAAAATGCCTAATGAGACTTTTCTTTACTACTGGATAAAAATAAATAAAACATGAAGGAATAATTATTGGGAGAACGATTTGTGCAGAAAGAAACATGAAACCACCCCTCGCTGCATCTGGGCTGTGTCATGTTGAGGGTGTTTTCTCCTTCAGACTGACCCTGTCCACTGAGTGTGAGGCAAGGCGAGCCAGCCCATGTATATAATGACACTCTTGTCCCATACTTGGTCACACTATCTTTGAGGTCCAGAGAAGATTCCACTGCCCTGGTAACAAACTAAATCAGCACTGTATGCTCCTTGTGGCAGACATCACTAATGCCCACTCATATGTCCAGGTCCCCTCCCCCACTCACACATATGGAAGACTGTTGTCCTGCCCCTGCCTTAGTTGGGTGGAACAATTGAGATTAGTTCTAGCCAATAGACTAGGAATAAAAATGACATGAGCCCCTCTGGAGAAAGCATTTAAACACTGGTGTGTTATTTTCTATCTTTCTCCTAGCCTGGCAAATGAAGAAATACGTTGAGATGGAGAAACCCAAGACTGAAGCCTGGACTGGTGAGCTGCTACATGGCGGACAAGAGTCCCCAAGAGTGACCTGCAACGACTTAGCGTGAACAAAAACTAAGCTGTTATGGTAATGCCTGGAGGTTTTTGGTGATGCTTATTACCACAGCCTTACCTACCCTATCCTTACATACTAGTGAGTGGATACATATACAGGCACACAGAAGTCAAGAAGAATAAACAAAATAGGCAGTTGGCTCTGTTTCTAATTTTATTTTCTGTTTCACACCAAAGAGAACGGGGTTTTCAGAAGTTACTCGTCTCCTCAGCCTGTTGCCACCAACACCTGGGGTGCCTGTGACTTTGGCTCATAGGGCCATCTCCGGTGCTTGCTTCTCAGCGGCCATTGCTCACACCCAGACTCCTTGTTCCAATTCCCCTTGCCCAGGTCTAGCAGTGCTCTATTGAGCTTCTGATGTGTATTGCAGTCATTCCATTTTGTTCTGAGGTTAGGACTAAAGGTCCTTGGGATTCTTGTGTAAGGATCATCTTTAGGACAATCTGAATTTTCCCTTGCCAATAATCTCCTCTCGGCAGAGATTAAGAGTTGAAAGAACCTAGTGTTCTGTCTATACACTGGTCTGTGCTATGTTTGTGGGATGAGGAGAGGTAGCAAGAGGAGGGAGACAGACCGCCTTCCCTGCCACACTAAGAGACAAGAAAATGAGACTCATCTCCTAGGACTCTGGATGCCCAGTACATGCTGATAATAATGACACCTGACTTTTCATTTATATGGTCTTTTTGCGTTTCTGCCCTAATCTGAATGTGGTGTCAAGGGAACTATTAATGGCTGCTATTGAGGAACATGTGACTTGGTATTTATATATTACCTGCCTACTTCATAAAGTGCTAATGAATGTTTGCAAAGCTCTTTGAAATCTTCTGGTGAAAGGTGCAACGTTAAGTGAAAAATATTATTATTATTATTAGAAGGTAATAGACAGCTTTGAATGATTGGTCATAAGAATAACTGACATAGCATTAAAAGAAGCACCAGAAATCATCCAGACGGTTGCTGCTCCTCCGGCCCCATCAGCCTCCACATTACATATATTACACTGTTTCCCTGACACCCATTCTAATAACCGTATAATTCACACATTAAATCACCACCTCCAGGGAAAGGTTGAGCTCACTCATAGCTCTATTGATAGTGACACTGAGAGGGTAGTAAATGTTGAAAGGTCTAAAATGGAGGAGAAGTGCTCTTAGATGGAGAGGCCAGATCTAGCCACTGAATGGCCACCACATTTAAAAGGATATGGGAAAGGAATGAATCAGAAACACCTTGGAAATGGAGAGGAAACATTAAAATAGATGTGAGATTGGAAAGCCATGAACACATAAAAGTCTAAAATGAGATAGCTGATACATAGCAATATTGTTTATTGTGTGCCTTCTCTGGTTTGAGAAATAGTGGCAGCACAAGCTGATTTTGGTTTCCTATTTCCTTTAAGTTGGAGTTGTTTAGTATATTGGTCTTTCGCATTAAATTCAGTCTCAGTCAGGTTTGACAAGTTGGGTCCAACTTACTTGCTAATTCGGGTTGAATGGCAGTAGCTGCCTGAAGTACAGTGTTGAGAAGAACTATGGGGGCACACTTGGACTCAGCAAGAAAGACTTCTGCGATCCATTCAGTGTGATCCATTAGCAATGTCTGCCTTGGGAGAGGAAGGAGGAAGAATGGTTTATTTGTGGGCTAGACCTGAACAGGTGTGAGGATGGCTGAACAGGACAGCTTGGCCTTTGTTCAAGGTTGTTTTTATTCTGACTTATAACCAAACCAGTCTAGGGGCACTTGTTAATCATCTGTCTCTGGATGCCAGAGGAGCTTGTGTTCCTGGTCCCATGGTACTGTCATAATCAGTGTCACCCAGAGAGGAGCTCAGGCCCCTGTCTGGTACCCTGATTTTTCTGGCTACTGCCAGGGGACACCTTACATTGCCTGGCTCTGGTGGCCAGTGGGGCTGATGCTTGTGGGTCCCATAGGACTATAACCAATGGAAAAAGAGTTCTTAAATAGGTACCAACCTCAGGGCACAGCACAAGGGTGTTTAGGAGCATGGCCTTTCTGTAAAGGAGGCTCATTAGCTGATCATTATGTCTATAGCCTGAGGGGCAGGCTTCTGATTAGGCACACATCTTGGTGTTGACTGTAATCCTTTCTGGAGACCTTGAAGAGTGGACACTATCTTTGTGCTCACCCTCTGCTGTACTCCAGACTGTCATTGTCTTCTGGAGAGGAGCTTTATAACTGTGTGGTACCCTGGTTGTTGAGTCAGGGCCCTGGATTTTGTAGCTCCTGCCCAGAGGACATCATCTTATTGCCTGGCTCTGGTGGCCAAGGGGCTTGCATTTCTGGGCACCACTGGACTGGTGGAAATTGGAGATATAGTTCTTGGTAGGCTACCACCCCCAGGAACAGCGCACACACAGTGGACTGGAGCACACTCCCCAGCCTTTCTGTGAAGGAGGCCTCTTTGCTCATCCTGGAGCTTTGGCTTGAGGGGCAGGCTTCAGGTTTCACACATAGTGGCCTACAGAGCTACCCTCAGGAACATAGGCTGTGGAGCCATCTTGGCACTCTCCCTCTGCCCTCCTCCAGCTCACCAGTATCACCAAGAAAAGAGTGTATACACTCATCTGGAGCCCTGATTTCTGCAACTGGCACTCAGGGGATACTTCTAGACTTCCTGGCTCTGGTGGCCAAAATTCTACCAAACATTCAAAGAAGAACTAATACCAATCCTTCTCAAACCCTTCCAAAAACATAAAAGAGGAGGGAACTCTTTCATACTCATTTTACAAGGCCAACATTACCTTGATAACAAAACCAGGCATGGAGGCCACACACAGAAAAGAAAATTACAGGCCAATATTCTGATGAACACAGATGCTGTGAATATTATTAAAGGGAACTCTCGCTGACATGGTGCCAGGGAGCGAGGAGAAGGAGTGCTCATGTCCCAACACATGTCAATTGCAGACCCCACCTGAAGGAAGAGAAGGCTCTTACTGGTGTATACTGTTTTAGCTGCTGCTTTACTACCAGGAAGGGTTTCTGCTTCCCCTGGCAACAGCCCAGCCAATGAGAGACTGTCATAACTCAGCCAGTGAGAAGCCAAGATACTTGGAACTCCCAGTTTCCTCCAATGGACCTCCCACCCCCAATCCACTCTTTCCTCTATGAAAGCATTCCTCCCCTTCAATCTCTGGACTTGCTTATGGTTTTGCCATAGCTTAATTGTCCTAAATTGTAATACATTAAAATGATTATACACCATGATCAAGAGGGATTTATTCCAGGAATGAGAAGATGGTTCAACATCCACAAATTAATCAATGTGATGTACCCCATTAACAGAATGAAAGATAAAAGTCATATGATCATCTCAATAGATGCAGAAAAAGCACTTGACAGAATTCAACATACATTTATGATAAAAACTCTCAACAGAGTGGTTATAGAGGGGTATTATCTCAACATAGTAAAGGCCGTATATAATAAGCCCAGAGCTTACATCATACTCAATGATGAAAGGCTGAAAGCCTTTCCTTTAAGACTGGGGAAAAGACAAGGATGCCCACTCTCACCACTCTCACTCAACATAGTATTGGAAGTCCTAACTAGAGCAGTTAGACAAGAAAAAGAAATGAAAGGCATCCAAATTGGAAAGGAGGAAGTAAAACTATTTGCAGATGGTATGATATATATATTTACATACAGATAAAAAGCCCTTAAAAGCCCATCAAAAACTGTTAGAACTAATAAATAATTCAGTAAATTTGTAGGATACAAATGAATACACTCATTTGGAGCCCTGATTTCCTATTGTATTTCTGTACACTAATAATGAATTATCAGAAAGATAAATTAAGAAAACATCCCTATTTATAATTGCATTAAAAATAATAAAATACATAGGAATAAGTTTAGCCAAGGAGATGAAAGACTTGTATACTGAAAACTATAAGACATTAGTGAAAGAGATTGAAGAAGACATAAATATATGGAAAGATATATACCATGCTCATAAATTGGAAGAACTAATATTGTTAAAATATCCATACTGCCCAAAGTGATACGCAGATTCAGTGCAGTCCTTATCAAAATTCCAGTACCATATTTCACAGGAATAGAACACAACCCCCCTAAAATTTGTATGGAACTATAAAAGACCCTCAGAGAAATAAAGCTGGAGGCATCATGTGCCCGATTTCAGACTATATCACAAAGCTATAGCAATTAGTATGATATTGGCATAAAAATAGACATATAGATCATGGGAACAGAATAGAGAGCCCATGCATTAAACCAGTGCACATATGGTCAATTTACAACAAAAGAGCCAAGAATATACAATGAGGGAAGGACAGTCTCTTCAATAAATGGTGCTGGGTAATTGTATAGCCACACGCAAAAGAATGAAACTGGACCACTATCTTACACCATACACAAAAATTAATTCAAAATGGATTAAGGATTTGAATATAAGAATTGAAATCATAAGAAAACAGGCAGTAAACTCCTTGACAAAGGCCTTGGCAATGATTTTTTGAATTTGACACAAAATGCAAAAGCAACAAAAGCAAAAACAAACAACTAGGGCTACATCAAACTAAAAAGCTTCTGCACAGTAAAGGAAACCATCAACAAAATGAAAAGGAAGACTACCAAATGGGGTAAAATACTTACAAATCATATATCTGATAAAGGGCCAATACCTAATGTATATAAAGAACTCGTATAATTCAATTGCCAAAAAAAAATCCGATTAAAAAATGGCCAGAATACCTGAATACGTATTTTTGTAAATGAGACATACAGATGGCCAACACATACATGAAAGGATACTCTACATCATTAATCATCAGGGAAATGCAAATCAAAACCATGAGATACTGCCTCACATCTGTTAGGCTAATATCAAAAAGTGTAGAAATAACAGGCGTTGATGAGGATGTGGAGAAAAGGGAACCCCTGCGTGCTGTTGATTGGAATGTAAATTGGTTCAGCTACTGTGGAAAATAGTATGGAGGTTCCTAAAAACTACCATATGATCCAGCAATTCCAATTCTGGATATTTACTGAAGGGAACAAAAACACAAATTCAAAAAGATAATGAATCCCCATGTTCATTGAACCATTATTTACAATAATTAAGATACGGAAATAACCTAATG